TGGCAGTGAAGGAATCATGTTTGAGAGGAGTGTGTGATGTGAATATTATGCAGCATATTCAGAGTGTAGAAATTAGATGACAACAGAGTTATGAAAGGTGTAATTCAGAGAGGTGAAGAAGGGTTGTTGAAGTAGTTTGAGCATTAAGAGATGATGGAGCAGAATAGGATAACCAAAAGGGTTCATAAAAGAAAGAGAGGTAGTTGTCATCCCAGGAAGGGTTGTAGAGAGGGAAAGGTGGTTTGAAGCACCCAGCAGGTTTGTATGACCAGAGTGAGTGGAGACAAGTGGGTGCTATTGGGGAGATTCAAGGAGACCAGTTAGCCAGAGTCCTGGAGGTGGGTAGGGCAGTGCCTGCACTCTGAAGGAGGGGTGGGAATGTTGCAGTTGGAGGGTAATCTGAATTGAGATTCGTAGAATTGTATTGACACAATTTAAAATGAATCACAGAATGGGTGGGACTTGAACCCACAACAAACTAGTCCTAAAACTCCCAGGCCAATGGATAGCACACTGGCCTGAGAGTTTTATGACTCGCTTGCCATGGGTTCATGCCCCACCCTTTTTGTGATCTGAACTGTAATGTCAGTTCACTTCCGGAAAGACAGCAGTTGAATGAATGAGGATGTACATATATTTTGTATGTGTGCTATTTTTTCTAATTCAGGAAGTTATAAATAAGTGAATAGAAGAACCATATTTATATGATATCAAATAATCCTTTATAATCCTCTTTCCCTGTTTATCTTCATTTTCCTTCTTGTCCTATTGTGTTCCTTCTTGCTGAGACATTCAAACCTCGTTAGCATCACCTAGTGTTCACAATTTGAGAAGGAAAGTAGTGTTACATATCAAAATAAATTTTTTAAAACTATCATTTTTTTATGAGAACTTTAGAAATGCATTCCTTTGTCATTAAACATGAACCAGATTTAACGAGGCTTGATTGTTGTTGTTGTTTATGTAATGAGCACCGCAGCACTCTCGGGCACAGGACTAACTCACCAATCCTGGCTCAGATACCACAAATGTAATAAAGCGCTGCCTTGCCATGGGGCCAAATCCTCAGATGATTTTCATTAAACTGTACTTTCTCAATTAGTTTTTGTTATAGGTACTGTACTACAATCTTATCCAAAACACACATCAGATTCTTACTATAGTATGTATACCTTATAAATATGTGTTTAATTCTCATCTTTGATTTTTCTACTATTACAGCATTCATTTATGAACAGATGGGAGTCTGGAAGGGAGCTCAATTATACTAGGTACAGATGAGGTGTACGGAGATGGAAAATATTATTGTATCTCACAAAGCGCTAAACCTGTGTAGATCATTCAGTACATGGAGTGTTGGAGGCTCGATCCTCCATGTGGTAAATACAGCCCAATCTCTGATCAGTTGGGCAAACAAAATCAAGGAGATTTTAGAAAAGTGGATCTTGTGTAGCTTAGGTGTGTTGTACATTGTAAGTTGTGGGTGTAAGAGAGGAGAGAATATATAGAAAGATTTATGGTTTGTAGATAAGAAGATAATGGTAAATGAGGTAGATGATAAGATTGGACTTTTCACGGATAAAGGCAGCTAGATGGCAAGATTTTTTTTTCTTTTTTTTTTTTTTTTGCCAGGTAGATTCACAGCCCAAAGTGCAGAAGTTTGATAAAACTTTTTTTTTTTTTTAACATTGCATTTCAGTCTCATACTCAGTGCTTTGAGAATTACTGTGTTCAGGAAGGAAAATTTTTTCTTACTCATCCTGATACAAGTTGTAAAAGGTGTGTAACATACACAGTACATTATGTAAGAAAGAGAATCTGAACACTACTTATCTTGTATGATGTAAATTACCTTAGTGATTGTAGTCTTTGATAATAGTGGATGTAGAATTACTCATACAGTATATAATGAGATCACATGATATCTTTGTGCTTTTTATATAGACTGTGCTGCTGGTAGCTATATTTTTTAGCTACATTTCAGTGGGAAATGGCAGTTTGTATGAAAACAGTTTGTGGTATCTTAATGACCAGGTTCAGTAGCACAAAGTGCAGATGAATATGTTAATTAAATACATGTAGGGTAGAGAACTTTCTTAACGCAAAGTTTTGCTTTTATATAGCAAAACATTGTCGTTTAAGTAGATTCTCGTCTCCTTGCAGTGTTTTGATTAATGTAGCACAGATGGATAGTTTGTCCATACAGGCTTTGGTTGTATCCGACTACTAACTAGTGATGAGCAAGTTGCACCCTGATGTTTGTGAAGCTGGAGAAGCTGCCATTGTAAGGCAATAAAACTGCTGGTTACGTAGCTTGGTTTGTGTTAGCATGTTACTGCATTATGCTATATGTATGCTATCTTTTAACATATATTTGAAAGTGCATGGGTTTGTGTTTCTGTATGTTGTATACTCATACATGTGTACATTTAACACAATTTATGCTTCTGTTCAAAGTGTATTTATTGTACCCTTATAACATTGAAGTAATTGTATATAAAATTTAAGTATTGTATTTAAGATTGCTGTACCACACTGTGATTTAAGTATTGGGGGGAAACTCATTATGGTGCTGGTCTTCCATTATGTCCATGACATATAGCACACTGCAACATCATTGCAGTATTGACTTGCAGTACTGTACATGGAATACATTTATACATTTAGAAAGACAACACGTTAACATGCTGTTATATACTCTTGTGCTCACTCCCTTCTATTCACAAATGCACTCACTTGCACATGTAATAATGTCTAGCAATAAACACTCATGCACACAATAGAGATAGACTTGCACAACGGAAATGTATGTGTTAAAAACATGTGTCTGAGTTAATTACTTCAAAGCATGTTTAAAGAAATTGCAATTAAATGTATTGATATGATCACAGTTTGTTCTGCTTAATACCAGAACATCAAGGCTGCATTAGCAGCACCTTCAGTAAAATTATAAATACAGTTGTCGCTTGAATATCCAACCTGAAGGGATGGGGTGGAAAAATAATTGGGATACCATAAGCAGAATTTTTAGAGGGCTATACAAATTTTGTTAAAATCTAGTGCAATCTGACTCGTAAAAATCCAACTTGCCAATGCATTACTGTACAGTATTAAACATATTCACAATTCCTCGCCAATTTATAAAAAAGAATATTGTTAAGGGTACATTTACAGCAATTTTGGTAAAACCCAACAGAAAAAACATTCAGTACACTACAGTATTAATTTCTTTACAGTATTTTGTGCTATTTACTTCTTTTTGTTAATTCCATGCTTACAGTATGTTGGTGTATCTGACACTTCCATCAAGATTTGGTTTTAATAGAAAAAATATTGAATTTTTTTTTTCCCAAAATGCCTTTCCGAGTTTAACCCTTTCAGGGTCCGTCCCGTAGATCTACGGCTTTACGTTCAGGGTCCAAACCGTAGATCTACGCCATGAGCTCAGCTCACTCTGATAAACTGTGAGTGGTACATTTGGGCCTAGATATGAGAGAATACATCTATGTGGTATGTGTGCACCACATAAAACAGATCCTGCAGCACACTGTGTATAATGAGAGAAAAAAAATGAAATGATTTTTCGATTAAAACAGCAACTTTGCAGTGTTTTTTCGTATGTTTTTTATAGTTGTATTTGCGATTTCTTGGTCTCATTTGATAGAATGGAAGACATATTACAGAAATAGAGATGATTTTGATTGGTTTTAGCATTGGAAATGGCTTGAAACTGAGCTCAAAGTAGCGGAAATGTTAAATTTTTGCCGATATTCAAGAGTAAACAAACGACCTCACACGTCTAATACACGTCAGCTGGTGGGTCTAATATACATTCACAAATATGGTGATGATATTTATACAATTATTACAGTATTGCATAACAGTAAATCTTCTATTTTTTGGTGTGTAATAAAAATTCATTATGTGAATAAAAAATCAAAATGGAATTTATTTGTAAAGCCTCAAAACATAACTAATGAACAGAGGAAATGTTAGTTTAGTGCCAGGAATGCCTACATTGTTCATTCTGGACCCTATTTTGAAATTGGAATATTTTGAACTTTGTGTTAAATTGGCCAAATTAACAATTTCCGATCACTTTATTTTGTAGTTGAAACAGTTGACTTGGCGATTTCTTGTGCTCAATCGATAGAATAGAAGTAATACTAGTGAAATAGCTAAGAATTTGGTTGATTGGAATAATGTAATTGGCCTAAAATGGGAGTCAAAGTCGGCAAAATAGCCGATTCGTAAATATCGCTGACACATCAAAATTCGCGAGAGCATAATTTCGTCAATTTTCCACCAAATTTCGTACTTTTTGTTTTATTACCTTCACAAAAAGATTCTCTACGATTTCATAAGAAAAAATAACAAATTTTTTTTTTTGAAAATTCTTGGACACTGGTGCGTGACTCCAGATTTGGGCCTTGGACCCTGAAAGGGTTAACAGTAAGTGTCTATGGGAAAAAGTATTCATTTACTGTAAAATGCAATTTTCGGTAAATTTCTCTGGAATGCATGCTAGCCTGTAAGAAAAAGATTACTGTAATTTAAAAAAAAAAAAAGCTACATTATTTCATATCCAGATAATTTTGTCACCATCCAATCATCTACTTCCTAGGCAGGTGGTAGGTGATAGAGGGGTCATTATTTGGACCATAAAATGTGTGGTTTATTGCTATGCTGGATAATTAAGGGTTGAATAATCAAGCAACCACTGTAATATGAAAATTGTATCGGTCTCAGTAGTTATTTTGAGGTTATTGTTTGTTGCAAGTAATATATAGTTTTTTTTTTTATGTTCAGAACCCAGTTAAATGCTGTACTGACATTGAGATGCATGAAGTTACAGTATACACAATTATTACCATAAGTGGGTATTGATCTTGCAAAAAATGTGATAAATTTTTGTTGTCGTTAAATATCGACTTGTAGAGAATATTTAACCTGTTCAGATTTAATGTAAATGTTCTCATTTTAACTTTAAACTGGTACAGATGTGCCTCTTGGAGTTGTGGCGGATTCGCAGTGAAGCAGTAGGCAAGCCACTTTTATCATGTAGCCGCAAAACTAGCTCGTGGTTTTGGGCATCATACACTACAGTTGGAACTTTCCTGTTTGGATGTGCCTGCTCACAGCTTTCTACAGATATTGCAAAGTACTCCATTGGACGTTTGAGGCCACACTTTGTCAGCATATGCAAACCTGACTGGTCGAAGGTATTTTTTCTGATGTGTTTGTGACTTAATGTACACTGTAGTATAATGAATTGGATTGATTACTTTCATAATTTTAATTTCCAATTAAGAAATTTGCTGAAACATGTTTCATGAATTGCTGGAATTAAAATGTGTTGTATTTCAGATCAATTGCACTGAGGATTATATTGACCCTATACCCTGTACTACACCAGATGATGATCATAGAATGAAGGAAGCCAGGCTGTCCTTCCCATCTGGACATGCCTCTTTTTCTGCATATACCATGATTTACTTAGTGGTAAGTGCAATCATATAGTATTTAGTAATTATTACTAAATTTGCTACAGTGTACAGGAAGGCCCCACTTATACGGCGGGTTAGGTTCCAGGCTACCGCCGTAAAGCGGAAATCGCCGTAAAGTGGAACACCCTTTTTTTCCACTTATAAATGCATACAAACACTAGATAACAAGTTTACACTAACATATATTAAGTTAGCAATAGAACCAGGCATCAAAAAACAATAAAAAGGTACAATACACACATAGTGCACTCATTACTTACCTTAAAATATTTATAGTCTTAATCTAGGGTGAGACAAGTAGTATTTATTGTAAGAAATCAAGTGTGGTATGTATTGTAATAGCCTCACCAGGCCACCCCACCCACACATACTATTCTATGATATTTAAGCATCCCAGAGCGATAAAATGTATATACAGTTCACTCATTACTTACCTTAAAATATTTGTAGTCTTAATGTAGGGTCAGGAGTAAGTAAATGAGAAAAAACGAATAAATGAGAGAGAGAAAGAATGAGTACATGAGAGGGGGCAGGCGCAGTTATGTAAACAAACCAGGGGAAGGTAAGTTTTGTAAACAAACGAAATGTACACGTCTGGTTTGTGTACAAGTTACATTGTGTACAGGTTGTCTCTACATTGATACGGTAGAATTAATAAAGAAGAACACTCCCATTCTCATGTAACATCATTTTGAGAAGAAATGAAGCTCTGAGTGAAGGCAATGGAAATAAGTCACACTGACTTTTTGGGTTATCCTAGGTTCTCTACACGTATGTTGTTATGTATGATAATCTATGTAACTGTATTTGTGTATACCTGAATAAACTTACTTACATACATACGAAAGGAATAATTTTCTACAGTTACCCCCAGTAACACATTTACTCTTATGTTAGATTAGAGAAAATGTTATTCTTGCCGTCACTTGTACAAGTTATGTGGCTCCCACATCTTATATTTATGTTTATTTATTCTATTGTGGGGTGTATTTATCATCTTTTTATGTTATGTATCGTGTTTATTATATAATTTTGAAAAAAATATCATTGATGGATTAATGAAAATGTGTATATTACCGTAATATACGACATTTAATGAGACTCGGTATTGTTATTATCACCACTTGTGCAAGTCGTCTGCTACGACATCTCACATTTGTTTATTTATTCTACTGTGGGGTGTATTATCTTATTTATATGTTATGCATCGTGTTTATTATATAATTTTGAAAAAAATATCATGGATGGATTAATGAAAATGTGTATATTACCGTAATATACGACATTTAATGAGACTCAGTATTGTTATTATCACCACTTGTGCAAGTCGTCTGCTACGACATCTCACATTTGTTTATTTATTCTACTGTGGGGTGTATTTATCTTATTTATATGTTATGCATCGTGTTTATTATATAATTTTGAAAAAAATATCATGGATGGATTAATGAAAATGTGTATATTAACGTAATATACGACATTTAAATGACTCGATGTATGTAAGTTTATTTAGGTACAGGTATACATAAGTATAATTATCAGAGTATATATAAAATATGAAATAACTTTTAAAAACATTTGAAATTTTGGAGTTTCCAGACAAAATGGAGAGACTTAGTGCTTACTGAGCTCATGGAGAATGTAAACAAACAGGGTGGGGCACGGTGACCGTATTAGAAAGTCAGGTGGGGGGAGCCGTATAGTGAGTTTTGGTCATAATTTGAAATGTCCGTATTAGCGGAACGCCGTAAAGCGGGGCCCTCCTGTATATATATTTATAGGAAGGCCCTGCTTGTGCAGCCAGCAGTAACAGCCTGGTTGATCAGGCTCTGATCCACCATGAGGCCTGGTCACAGACTGGGCTGCAGGGGCACTGACCCCTGGAACTCTCTCCAGGTAAACTCCAGATACAGTAGGTTAGATTCCAGGCTACTGCTGTAAAGCAAAAATTGCTGTAAAGTGAAACAGCCTTCCTTCTTTCTTTCTTTCTTTCTTTCTTTCTTTCTTTCTTTTGTTCTTTCTTTCTTTCTTTCTTTCTTTTGTTCTTTTCTTTTTTTCCTTTCAAATGCATATAAAAGCCTGATATCATGTTACCACTATCAAGTATTAAGTGAACAATAGAGCTAGGCCTAAAAAAAAATTACATATACAGTACACACATTATTTACCTTAAAATATTTTCATCCTTAGCTTATAGTGAGTGGTGAATATGTTTATTATAGGAAGTCTGAAGAAAGGATATTATTGAAAACCATTGCATTAGCAAAATGACATAAAGTGAAGCACTGTGAAGTAAGTCCCGCATGTATTATTTTTTAACGCACATTGGCCATCCCTACCAAGGTAGGGTGACCCAAAAAAGAAATGCTATTTCACATCATTCACACTATCACTGTCTTACAGGAGGCACACAGACACGACAGTTCAGATGATCCTCCAAACAGCAAATGTCTCCTCTCCTTTAGAGTGCAGGCACTGTGCTTTCCCCTTCCAGGACTCGAGTCTGGCTAACCAGTTTCCCTGAATCCCTTCATAAATGTTAACCTTGCTCACACTCCAACAGCACGTCAAGTTGTAAAAACCACTTGCTTCCACTCCTACCTAACAAGCTGTCACACACTTGGTGGATGTCTAAGCCCCTTGCATATAAAATCTCCTTTACCCCCTCCCTCCAGACTTTATTGTTATTATTATACTATTATTTTTTTTTATTATCACACTGGCCGATTCCCACCAAGGCAGGGTGGCCCGAAAAAGAAAAACTTTCACCATCATTCACTCCATCACTGTCTTGCCAGAAGGGTGCTTTACACTACAGTTTTTAAACTGCAACATTAACACCCCTCCTTCAGAGTGCAGGCACTGTACTTCCCATCTCCAGGACTCAAGTCCGGCCTGCCGGTTTCCCTGAATCCCTTCATAAATGTTACTTTGCTCACACTCCAACAGCACGTCAAGTATTAAAAACCATTTGTCTCCATTCACTCCTATCAAACACGCTCACGCATGCCTGCTGGAAGTCCAAGCCCCTCGCACACAAAACCTCCTTTACCCCCTCCCTCCAACCCTTCCTAGGCCGACCCCTACCCCGCCTTCCTTCCACTACAGACTGATACACTCTTGAAGTCATTCTGTTTCGCTCCATTCTCTCTACATGTCCGAACCACCTCAACAACCCTTCCTCAGCCCTCTGGACAACAGTTTTGGTAATCCCGCACCTCCTCCTAACTTCCAAACTACGAATTCTCTGCATTATATTCACACCACACATTGCCCTCAGACACGACATCTCCACTGCCTCCAGCCTTCTCCTCGCTGCAACATTCATCACCCACGCTTCACACCCATATAAGAGCGTTGGTAAAACTATACTCTCATACATTCCCCTCTTTGCCTCCAAGGACAAAGTTCTTTGTCTCCACAGACTCCTAAGTGCACCACTCACTCTTTTTCCCTCATCAATTCTATGATTCACCTCATCTTTCATAGACCCATCCGCTGACACGTCCACTCCCAAATATCTGAATACGTTCACCTCCTCCATACTCTCTCCCTCCAATCTGATATTCAATCTTTCATCACCTAATCTTTTTGTTATCCTCATAACCTTACTCTTTCCTGTATTCACCTTTAATTTTCTTCTTTTGCACACCCTACCAAATTCATCCACCAATCTCTGCAACTTCTCTTCAGAATCTCCCAAGAGCACAGTGTCATCAGCAAAGAGCAGCTGTGACAACTCCCACTTTATTTGTGATTCTTTATCTTTTAACTCCACGCCTCTTGCCAAGACCCTCGCATTTACTTCTCTTACAACCCCATCTATAAATATATTAAACAACCACGGTGACATCACACATCCTTGTCTAAGGCCTACTTTTACTGGGAAATAATTTCCCTCTTTCCTACATACTCTAACTTGAGCCTCACTATCCTCGTAAAAACTCTTCACTGCTTTCAGTAACCTACCTCCTACACCATACACTTGCAACATCTGCCACATTGCCCCCCTATCCACCCTGTCATACGCCTTTTCCAAATCCATAAATGCCACAAAGACCTCTTTAGCCTTATCTAAATACTGTTCACTTATATGTTTCACTGTAAACACCTGGTCCACACACCCCCTACCTTTCCTAAAGCCTCCTTGTTCATCTGCTATCCTATTCTCCGTCTTACTCTTAATTCTTTCAATTATAACTCTACCATACACTTTACCAGGTACACTCAACAGACTTATCCCCCTATAATTTTTGCACTCTCTTTGTCCCCTTTGCCTTTATACAAAGGAACTATGCATGCTCTCTGCCAATCCCTAGGTACCTTACCCTCTTCCATACATTTATTAAATAATTGCACCAACCACTCCAAAACTATATCCCCACCTGCGTTTAACATTTCTATCTTTATCCCATCAATCCCGGCTGCCTTACCCCCTTTCATTTTACCTACTGCCTCACGAACTTCCCCCACACTCACAACTGGCTCTTCCTCACTCCTACAAGATGTTATTCCTCCTTGCCCTATACACGAAATCACAGCTTCCCTATCTTCATCAACATTTAACAATTCCTCAAAATATTCCCTCCATCTTCCCAATACCTCTAACTCTCCATTTAATAACTCTCCTCTCCTATTTTTAACTGACAAATCCATTTGTTCTCTAGGCTTTCTTAACTTGTTAATCTCACTCCAAAACTTTTTCTTATTTTCAACAAAATTTGTTGATAACATCTCACCCACTCTCTCATTTGCTCTCTTTTTACATTGCTTCACCACTCTCTTAACTTCTCTCTTTTTCTCCATATACTCTTCCCTCCTTGCATCACTTCTACTTTGTAAAAACTTCTCATATGCTAACTTTTTCTCCCTTACTACTCTCTTTACATCATCATTCCACCAATCGCTCCTCTTCCCTCCTGCACCCACTTTCCTGTAACCACAAACTTCTGCTGAACACTCTAACACTACATTTTTAAACCTACCCCATACCTCTTCGACCCCATTGCCTATGCTCTCATTAGCCCATCTATCCTCCAATAGCTGTTTATATCTTACCCTAACTGCCTCCTCTTTTAGTTTATAAACCTTCACCTCTCTCTTCCCTGATGCTTCTATTCTCCTTGTATCCCATCTACCTTTTACTCTCAGTGTAGCTACAACTAGAAAGTGATCTGATATATCTGTGGCCCCTCTATAAACATGTACATCCTGAAGTCTACTCAACAGTCTTTTATCTACCAATACATAATCCAACAAACTACTGTCATTTCGCCCTACATCATATCGTGTATACTTATTTATCCTCTTTTTCTTAAAATATGTATTACCTATAACTAAACCCCTTTCTATACAAAGTTCAATCAAAGGGCTCCCATTATCATTTACACCTGGCACCCCAAACTTACCTACCACACCCTCTCTAAAAGTTTCTCCTACTTTAGCATTAGTATTATGAAATAAAATACTAGATACCAAGAGTCTTTTGCCTTAAGAGGGAAATTGACATTTTTTTTTTCTTCAATAAGTCAGCCATCTCCCAGAGAGGCAGGGTGACCCAAAAAGAAAGAAGATCCCCAAGAAAGAAAATACTTTCATCAACATTCAACACTTTCACCTCACTCACACATAATCACTTTTTGCAGAGGCACCCAGATACAACAGTTCAGAAGCATATACAGTGGACCCTCGACTAACGCTATTAATCCGTTCCTGAGAGCTCATCGTTAGTCAAAATTATCGTTAGTCAAGTTAGTTTTCCCCATAAGAAATAAAGGAAATCAAATTAATCCGTGTAGGACACCCCAAAGTATGAAAAAAAAATTTGTTTTTACCACATGAATTTTTTTTTTTTTTTTTCAACAAGTCGGTCGTCTCCCACCGAGGCAGGGTGACCCAAAAAAGAAAGAAAATCCCCAAAAAGAAAATACTTTCATCATCATTCAACACTTTCACCACACTCACACATTATCACTGCTTTTGCAGAGGTGCCCAGAATACAACAGTTTAGAAGCATATATGTATAAAGATACACAACATATCCCTCCAAACTGTCAATATCCCAAACCCCTTTAAAGTGCAGGCATTAAACTTCCCATTTCCAGGACTCAAGTCTGGCTATATAAAAATAACTGGTTTCCCTGAATCCCTTCACTCGATATTACCCTGCTCACACTCCAACAGCTCATCAGATCCCAAATACCATTCGTCTCTATTCACTCATATCAACACGCTCATGCACGCTTGCTGAAAATCCAAACCCCTCGCCCACAAAACCTCCTTTACCCCGCCTTCTTTTCCCTACAGATTTATACGCTCTCCATGTCATTCTACTTTGATCCCTTCTCTCTAGATGACCAAACCGCCTCAACAACCCCTCTTCAACCCTCTGACTAATACTTTTATTAACTCGACACCTCCTAATTTCCACACTCCGAATTTTCTGCATAATATTTACACCACACATTGCCCTTAGACAGGACATCACTACCTCCAGCCATCTCCTTGCTGCAGCATTTACAACCCAAGCTTCACACCCATATAAGAGTGTTGGTACTACTATACTTTCATACATTCCCTTCTTTGCCTCCATAGATAACGTTTTTTGACTCCACATATACCTCAACGCACCACTCACCTTTTTTACCTCATCAATTCTATGATTAACCTCATCCTTCATAAATCCATCCGCCGACACGTCAACTCCCAAGTATCTGAAAACATTCACTTCTTCCATACTCCTTCTCCCCAATTTGATATCCAATTTTTCTTTATCTAAATCATTTGATACCCTCATCACCTTACTCTTCTCTATGTTCACTTTCAACTTTCTACCTTTACACACACTCCCAAACTCATCCACTAACCTTTGCAATTTTTCTTTAGAATCTCCCATAAGCACAGAATCATCAGCAAAAAGTAACTGTGTCAATTCCCATTTTGTATTTGATTCCCCATAATTTAACCCCACCCCTCTCCTGAACACCCTAGCATTTACTTCTTTTACGACCCCATCTATAAATATATTAAACAACCATGGTGACATTACACATCCCTGTCTAAGACCTACTTCTACCGGAAAGTAGTCTCCCTCTCTTCTACACACCCTAACCTGAGCCTCACTATCCTCATAAAAACTCTTTACAGCATTTAGTAACTTACCACCTATTCCATATATTTGCAACATCTGCCACATTGCTCCCCTATCCACTCTATCATATGCCTTTTCTAAATCCATAAATGCAATAAAAACTTACCTATTTTAGTTGTATTGATAGTGAATTTGTATTGCAGATTTATCTTCAAGTACGATTTAAATTGAAAAACCCCAAGTTAGTTCGTCCCTTTCTTCAATTTGTGTGTCTTATGATGACTTTCTACTGCTGCTTGTCACGTATTTCTGACTACAAGCACCATTGGTCAGATGTGCTCTTTGGATTTTTGCTTGGGACAACTGTGGCAGTCCTTATTGTAAGCATTACATTTGATTACTACACATTTCTTTTTGTTTTGCAGTATTTTGTAAATATTCCTAGTTTGGGGTAATATATTTTTGCAGTTGTAATGTGTGGTTAGTTTCCAGTAGTTTTCTTCTGTGAAGATTAATGTAATATATTTTAGCATTTTAATTTTTATTGTGAAATGCTTCTCACATTGACCCTGATAGAGACATGAAAATCATTCATCACCTCGTTTTTGCACCACACAACCTTCTAGTCAGTGTATGTGTCGGATCTATTTTGCGGTTGGCGGCATCAGCATAAACATCACCACGAGGTTGCGGAGGCCATGCAGCTGCAGAATTGTAGTCGCTCGTCATCCCCAACCAAGATAGACTTTGTTTAAAGCACCTCAGGGTCAGGGTCAATATATTATTTTTGCCCATATGTCATGTGCTTTTTAATAGATTTGCATTTCATATGTATGTGTGTATTGCTTCATAATTGTTTGTTTTCTTAGTGTGTATTAGTTCTGCATGCATATTAAAACGATATATAATAAGACATTACATATTGTGCCTTTTTGTTTTTAAAGACATTACATAGATTTTTGAATGCAGTAAGAAAATTCTTTATAAAAGAAAGAACATGCAAGCATATTTGCATTGTTGGCCTTATAAAAATTTTCTTTCTGTTTTGTATGGAAATGTATTTACATACATCTGTAATAATGTCTTTCATGTGTGACAAATATTAATTCTCACCAAGAAAATCACTCCTTGCATAAAGCTGCTCATATTAATGTCATACCTCACTCTTGAAGGAATGGTCATACTTTATAAGATAGGTTATGCATGTGATGTAAATTACATGCAGATTATTCTGCATGCTCTAGTACAGTGGCTCTCATATTGGTGCACACACAAATAGGCTTTAAGGGATGCATGGCACTCTGCCAGATCTTACAAAGTGCAAAATATGTAAAGGTGGTGAGAGAGATATGAATATTAGTATTACCTAACCCAGTAGCTACTAGGCAACCAAGTTAGGCTAGGGCAGCAATATAAAAAAGTCGTAATTATCAGAATACAAGCCTATTTTACAAAACGTACCATTGCTGTAGCCTATTTTTTAAAGACTATGTAGCAAGGTTATTGTTAATTAGATTGATGTAAACTAGACTGATATTCTGATAATTAAGATACATTTTCTTAGCAGACTTTTCAATGAAGAGAGTTTTGTAGTCTAATTATGAGGTCTCGGCAGATATAGCTACTACCTAATTATTGGCAAAGCTCATGGGTCTTTCTGCTGCAAGCCTGATCACCAAGTACCAAAATCACACAAAAGTATGGATGTCTGTCCATGCCTTCTTGTAGAGATGCTCAGTCATTTTCATTGCTTATCTCGTATAAGTTTTTTACATTACATATATTTGTAAACATGTTCATTGAAGCATATAATCACTTTTCTATTACTTATATCCAGGTTTGTGAAATTGTTCTTAAGGATGGAAATCACATTGGAGTACAAAGTTATTTTTGTTCTATTTGTAATGTTAAATTAAATTAGTTAAAAATCAAATAGAATTTTTAAGTTGATTAATGCCATAGATCCTAAGTGACTTTCTTGTGAATGATTTTCTAACTTTCTCTACCTGAAATGTTCTTTTGTGAGATACTTGATAATTCTGAACTTTTATTTTTCTAATTTTATTTTATTTCTTGTTTGTTTGTTTTTTTCAGTCATGGTGTGTATCTGATCTCTTCCAGCCAACACTACCACCATCCAGTAAAGACCAGACAGTCTTCCTGCAAGATTGTCGATTTGTTGGTAATGAAAGTGAAAATGATAAATCCCGTACAAATTTAGGTGAATGAAAACTATGAGATAAAAGGTATTTCAAATTGCTTGAAGTACAGTGCGTTGTGTAAATTTTAGAAGATTTTTATACTTCCAGAGAAACTGTTAAATTAGTTTTGTTTGTGAGTTTTTACAAAAAACCTAAATTGCAAATCTAAAATTAGATGGTCTGGAAGAATGAGTTAGGTTAGGAGAAATTTAATAAGTTTAATACCGATAACATAATTATGTACATGTAAATTGAAACCATTATACAGGTTGAGTATCCCATATCTGAAATTCAAAAAAACTCCTAAATCCATAATTTTCAAGCGCCAGTGTGATGCCACAAGTGTAAAATTTTAGTTGACTCTGGGGAGGTTTCCAGGTGTTGCGCAGGTCTTTGTTTACCCAGACAGTTGGCGACACATGACCTCTCATACCCTTGGTAGGGCTCTGACACTCTGGTAGCGTTAGTTCATCAACAGTTATCACTGCCAGAACTGTTTGCATTGCTGTTATTACATGTGTTATGTGCTTATTCTCTGCTCTGTGCTGGCAAGATATTTTTGAAAATGTCAACAAGGCCTGCAGATATAACTATAGGTAAGTGATAAGAGAAAAATTACAGAATACAGTAGCCTTTTAATCAAAACACAGCATTGTAGGTGGAGACTGAAAGCCTGTCTTTTTTTTTTTTAATAGCTGATGCAGGTATTCTGCCCATGCTGCTGTGCTGCTTTCATTGTTAAAAATATTGTTTTTGTTATTGAAAATGTTGCTTAAAACTACTTTAGGCTATGTGTATGAGCTGTATATAAAATATAAATACATGTAGATTTTGTGTTTAGACTTTGGGTCCCATCCCCACGCTATCTCATCATATTTCAAGATCAAAAATATTTGGAATCTGTGACACTTCTAGCCCCAAACATTTCAAATAAGGGATACCTAACCTGTATAACATTTTAAAAAAGATTTTAGTATTCTTACATAAAATATCTTGTTTTTATTTGAATTCTTCATTGTATATTTTTTGTATACAGTTTCCAGAGGGTCGAGTGTGCAAAATCCATAATTTTGTAACCCTCATTCTTTGTGCAAATCAGAGGTCATTTTTAATGATGGATGATCATTTTTAGTTGTTTTCTGCCCTTATTTCAATTTTACCTTCTCTCATTCCCTTATATATAGTGTAGTGAAATCAAAGTGGTTAATACATATTTTCCTTATGTAAGTCTGACAAGCAATATACTTATTTTTTAATCTCTAATGTTATGCCAAACTTATTCTCATTTATGATTACTGCATATGTAAAAATGGAAAAAAGTAAGTTGAGTTAGATGATTTGAATGGTTTTTATGCTTAGCATAGTTTTGATTGTGAAATGCTTCTTGGCTACTAGTTTTTAGATATTTATGAATTACTGGTAAAATGTGTTGTGAAAAAATTAAGATTTTTAGCTTTTTTTTTTTTTAATTTGATTATATATATACGTATATATATATATATATATATATATATATTTTTTTTTTCAACAAGCCGGCCGTCTCCTACTGAGGCAGGGTGACCCAAAGAGAAAGAAAATCCCCAAAAAGAAAATACTTTCATCATCATTCAACACTTTCACCTTACTCACACATAATCACTGTTTTTGCAGAGGTGCACAGAATACAATAGTTCAGAAGTATATACGTATAAAAATACACAATATATCTCTCCAAACTGCCAATATCCCAAACCCCTCCTTTAGAGTGCAGGCATTGTACTTCCCATTTCCAGGACTCGAGTCCGGTTATATACAATAACCGGTTTCCCTGAATCCCTTCACTAAATATTACCCTGCTCACACTCCAACAGATCGTCAGGTCCCAAATACCGTTTGTCTCCATTCACTCCTATCTAACACACCCATTTTACGGCATTCCACTAATATGGCAATTTCAAATTATGACCAAAATTTACCATACGGCAAGAGGTCTTTCAAATACGGTGCACCCCACCCGGTTTGTTTACATTCTCTGTGAGCACATATCTATTATGTCTGGAAATTTTCCAAAATTTCAAGTGTTTTAAAGTTATTGCGTATTTTATATATACTCTAATAATTATACTTATGTGTACCTGTACCTAAATATACTTACACACTGTGCTGGCGTGCAGGTACACATTAAAATCACTAAGGATGTCTCTACTCTTGACGCCTTAATAATAATACATACATGTAATCTCTTCGGCGCATTAAATGTCGTATGTTACGATAATATAGACATTTCTATTAATCCAACTATGGTATTTTTTTCAATATACAGTGGTCCCTCGTTTTTCGTAGTTAATCTGTTCCTGGAGCTGCTATTATTAACGAAATCTACGATTTGCGACCTCTGCAAGGGGGGCTCCTTGGTGTGGTGAAGAGGCTCTTGGTCTGAGGAATTAGACCTGTCGGTCTACTTCCTCAGACCGAACCTAATTACCCCCCAATCCCCCGTTCCCTATCCCATCCTCCCCTTTTTCCTTTCCTCCTCCTCCTCCCCACCCCTCTCTTTTGCCCTTCCTTTTTGGCCTTTTTTTTTTTTTTTTTTTTTTCCACAGGCAAACTAGTTCCTAGGTAGGGGAAAGGGTACCGGGGTCCATCCCATTCCGTTGAGGTTCTTGGCGGTGGCGTAGTTTTCCGTGGAATCTGGATTGCCTGGGGATGTCCTGATCCCTCTCCGGTATCCCGGAGGGTGGCTTTGGGTGTCTCTCGGGCGACGGGTGTATCTCTGGAAGCCACCTTTCGGATTCCGGGGGTGGTGGCCGAAGGAGGTATGCTTTGTGGCGGATTTCCGGCCGCCCTCTCTTTTGTCCACCGAGGTAGCTCGGCAGATGCGAGGTTGCTATCCCGGATTGCCGGTTTACTGTCATGATGGGTAGGGTATGGCACGGGTTCCATGCTGCACCTGCGCTACTTGCGGTGCTGAGGTCCTCTTGGGCGCGGAGGGAGATTTCTGGCCCTTTCATTCCTCTTAGGAACTATCCCTCCCCGGTCCCCCCTTTTTTTATTCTTTTTTTTTTTATTTTTATTTTCTTTTCTTTCTTTTTTTTTCTTAAAAACAAAAAGAAAGAAGTAACCTAACCATGGCAGCCCTAGTCCATGAACCTGCTACCCCCGGGCCCCTTCTCGATACCGCACCCCGTTCTGACCCCGCCTCGTCTTTGGACCACTCTTCGGACACTCCTCATGCCTCTGTACCTCTTGCCGGTGCTGTTTCCTCACCCGCTTCAGGTACTGAGGCCTCGACTGACTCCTTCGATTTATCTGACCTTCGCTCTCCTCTAACTACGCTTCCGGCCTCTCCCTCTACGGTGCAGCAATTTTCGAATCGCCGGCCCGTTCCACATCGGACCAACTCTGGTCCCACGCCTAAACAACAACGACAATTACCTGCTGATGATACTTCTCCACCTTCTCGTTCTTCTCAGAAAAGATCGACACGTCCTTCACTACCTTTCCACGCTCAGTTTCAGACTGCACAATGGACTAAATTCTTCACTTTCCGACCGACTTCCTGTACTGCCTATCTTTCTGACCACAGTATTGGCAAGGCACTCCTACGCCATGTTGGTAAAGATATTTCTTTTCATGCTCTTAAGAGCGGTACGCGCATCGTCACCGTACAGAATGCTACCCAGGCTTATGAGCTTTCTCGTCTTTCCCATATCGATAATGTTCCTGTAACTATTGAAAAGCATCATTCCCTCAATTCTTGTAGTGGTACCATCATTTCTGCCCCATACCATAGTTCAAACAAAATTTCCAGACATGTGGCACTGACATTCTTGAACAGCTGGAACTCCAAGATCTCCCAATCCTCAAGGTAGACACTTACGTTCTTCCTGCCTGCGGGCGGAGACGATACCCTAGTAATGTGGCTCGTTTAACTTTTGACAGCCGTGAACTCCCATCCTCAGTTTATGTAGCAGGACATCAGTTACAAGTTCGAAAGGTGATCCCTACACCGCAACAGTGTAGAAATTGCTGGCGATTTGGCCATCCAGCGAAATATTGCAGATCTATCGCCGAATGCCCAGTCTGTGGTGCCCATGACCATTCTAATACGTCTTGCAATCGACCTCCCTCTTGCCTTAATTGTCATGAGGCTCACCCTTCGTACTCTCGCCGTTGTCAAGTCTACTTAAACGAGCGGGAAATCCGTTACCTCAAAGAGGCAGAAGGTCTCCCTTATGCCATGGCAGTTTCTCATCTCCGCCTCCAAGGGAGACTACCTCGTGTTTCTTATTCCCGTGTTTCAAAACGTCCCCCCACTTCTGGTATCCCATCTTCTGCACCCACCTCTGTGGTTACCTCTCCCATAGTCACTCCTGTAGCTAATTATTTTGCTGTCCTCGGCTCAGACGTCCCTACTTCAACGTCTCAGTCTGATCTTGCTTCTTCGTGTTCTCTCTCACAAGCCTCAGTAGCGACGAGATCTCGTATGACACCTCCTCCCAATCGTCCCTCTACTTCTCAAAAGTCAAAAAAAGGTCCGTTAACACCTCCTACCCATCTTCCACCTCCTCATTTTCCCTTCCCTGTCTCTGTACCTGGTTCTCCCCCTCTCACTGGCTCTGTTACAAGTGTAGAGGTTCACCCTCCTCCTCGTACTGTACCTTCCTCCCCTGTTCCCTCCCAAGTTTCTTCCTCTTCTGCCTCTTCTGTCCCCTTCCACGCTTCTCCAGTTCCCTCCACCCTTCCGTCCCCCCTACCTTGGTACAGTCCATTACAGTTCCAATCTTTACTCATCCTCCCCCTACCATTTCCAATATTGTCTCCCATACGACGTCTCTGAATTCTGAAACACTTGAAGCAATCTCTGAATATATTGCAGAGACCAAACCATCAATGGACACTGATCCACCCTCCGCTCCTCTCTCTCCTCTACTCCATCTGCGCAACTCCTTTCTTCACAGCGCACCGTTCCATCGCTGCTTGAAACGTTTTCCACTGCCTCCGCATGTGGACTTTTCTAACCCCTCTAGTCCGTAGGAACCCTTACCTGCGGATTTCAGGTATCTTTATCATTGCCAATCATGGCCTATTTACAGTGGAATATACGCGGCCTCAGGGATAATCGGGGTGAGCTTCAGATGTTACTCTCCCAGTTTTCCCCTGTTGGTGTTTGCTTACAGGAACCAAAATTACACTCTGCTGTTATCTCTCCCATCTCAGGCTATAATTTATTGTATTCTTCAGATCCTTTTCCTGATGGGACCTTTAATGAAAGTGCCCTTCTTCTACGCACTGATATTCCGTACCATCAGCTATTTGTTCGTACTTCGCTGCATTACACAGCAGCCCGTATCCACTTGCATAGGTGGTATACGCTCTGTTCTTTATATCTCTCTCCTTCTCGGGCATTATCTATTCCGGATATTGCCTTTCTTGTTTCGTCATTACCACCACCGATTCTGTTACTTGGTGATTTTAATGCCCACCATTTCCTCTGGGGGGGGTCTCACTGTGATTCCCGTGGCATTCAGTTAGAGGCTTTTCTTGCCACCCACCCCTCCATGTTTTAAATACAGGTACTCACACCCATTTTGATCCTCGGACTCACACTCTCTCTTGCATCGATCTCTCAGTCTGCTCTTCCTCCGCCGCATTAGACTTCACTTGGTCTGTTCTTCCGGACTTACATGACAGCGATCATTTCCCAATCATTCTTACTTCCCCTTCATATTCACCACCTCTTCGCATCCCACACTGGCAATTTGATCAGGCAAATTGGAACCTTTACTCACACCTAACTGTTTTTAGAGAGGTTCCTTCTTCGTCCTCCATCGATGAGCTTTTACACCTCTTCTTGTCCTCCATTTTAAACCGCACTTCTCATTCTATAACCCCAAACTTCGGGCAGGCTTTCTCAGAAATGCGTGCCTTGGTGGTCTCCTGCTTGTGCTCGTGCAGTACATTTGAAACGCGCTGCATGGGGCAGGTACCGGTACAATAGAACCACAGAGAGACTTTTTGAATTTAAGCAGAAGCGTGCGATCGCTCGCCGTGTCATCCGTGATGCTAAACGCACTTGCTGGCGAGATTGTCTCCACAACCATCACCTCTGCTTCCTCTATGAGTGCAGTCTGGAAAAAAGTACGAAAACTGAGTGGTAAATATTCTCCTGACCCGGCTCCTGTTCTGCGGGTTGCTGGTGTTGATATAGCAAACCCACTAGATGTTGCCAATGAAATTGGCAATCATCTGGTCCGTATTTCTCAGGGACTCCATCTATGCCTCTCATTTCTTTCCTCAAAGTCTGCCAGAGAGTTAGCACCCTTGGACTTTTCTTCTCTCAGAGAAGAACAGTATAATGTGCCTTTTACACTTCAAGAACTGGAGGCAACACTCTCAGCTTGCCGATCATCGGCAGCTGGG